GCAACCGCGTCCTAGGCCAACCACAGGGGACACACACCCCAAACAAACCACGAGGATCTCACACACGAGACAAACACACTTGAACCCGGCGCTCGACACAGGAAGCCCAGGTCCAAGACAAGCAACAGAGCAAGCACGCAGAGAAACCGCATCGGAAGCAGGGAACGCACGGACACCCTCAAAACCGACCGCCAGCAGCGAAAAAGGACAACGGCCACCACCATCCGACAGCCCAGCAACACGGGAAACAACCACGGTAACCCCACGCTGGTCGGGACTCATAATTGAACTGATATCCACAGAGCCCCTCAACGCGGGTCCGGAAACCAGGACGATAACCCCACGATACACCGACAGCCGCCCTGTCGTACCCACTCCGAAGCAGCCGATCCAACCGAAAATGAGCCCGAACCAGTCCCGGAGTCGTGTCCGCCGGACTTGGCCCCGCAGATCCAAGCATTTACATTTGACAGACCCATCCCGAAAGACCCGAATCAAACCTTTGACCCCGGAGCCACCAAATCCACCGAAGACGACCCAGAACTACCGACGGATCCTTGGCCACCCGACATAGCACCGCCGATTCAAGAATGCCTGGACAAAGAACTACCAAAGAAAACTGCCGAGAAAACCATCGTGATATGGGATAATCGACCCACCAAGCAGACACCAACTACAAAGCACCCAGAACAGCAGAAAGGCCACGATCACAGCAGCAGTAGAAAATATAACGTTACCGACGCCACGCTAAAGTGACGAGATTAACAGCGACGAATCCGGAGACTCGGCACCAGCCAAAGCACAGGAAAAAGGCGAACCTCAGCACCCGCCACACAGAGCTAACGAACCATGGCTCTAGCCACGGTTCTCCCCAAATAGCGGTGTGTCAGCAACTCCGGGAAATAAAATAGTCTTAAGCAACGCTCACAATTAATTAAGAACTCTCGACCAACAACTCTACACATTTTTGTCCACACAACAATTTAAAACACCCCACCTCTTGGGACATTTCGCAATCGACGGCCTACATAAGAAATATCATTTGCGTTATTTCACAATAAGTCAAGCTAGCATAAAATTATCGACCTACCGACCCAAATTCAGATATCACCTTTCCCAACTGCAACTGCACCTTCCGGGATGCAGCCTCAGCAAAAACACACTGCCCCACTAACAATTGTCAACGAAGCACCCAGCTTCGACCCACTTACTAGCCCCACATTTATTGTCGTAATCATAAGTTAGCAATAGGCAATTATTTCCGGGTCTCAGGTGCGATCGCCATCTGCATAAAAGGGCCAAGATCGGCCGAAAGACTAGGCAGTCCATCAGCCCGAACACAAGACACTGAACTAGGCAGTCCATCAGCCCGAATACAAGATACAGGCAGTCCATCAGCCCAAACACAAGACACTGCACAAGGCAGTCCCTCAGTCACACACCCAAGACACTGTACTACGCAGTCCCTCAGTCACACACCCAAGACACTGCACTACGCAGTCCACCAGCGCACCATTCAAGAACGAGTTGAAGCAGCAGAATTTAAGTGAATGAAGAAAGTGAATGGAAAGAAACCAGAATATTAAATAAAAACCAAGAACAATCCAACAAAACCGTCGCCTCATCATTTCTCGCTGCCTACTACATTCTTTTACGAGCCAGCTCGACACCTGAAGTCACCTACAAACTACAAATTGTCTTGTAGCGGACCCTGGACAGACTGATGCTTACCTCAGCCTGAAATAGGACCTCACAATGCATCTCGCTTCCAGATTTCTTTCGCTATCGTTCTATCATTAGGGCTCCTGCATTAGGGCACGGGCAACTCGGCCCGCCTGCCCTTTTTCAGTCTTAAATTGATGGTCATCATTATCGCACTCACGTTCTACCGTCTTGACGAATCACTCACTTCTCTCGAATATTGAACAGACCCTGCGTCTTCAATTTTTCTCGCTTAGATTTGATCAACCGGTACATCTCGCTTTATTTCGCTACACCTACGCACCCCATATTTCGCCTACTTTACAAATAAATAAATAAATAACAAAAAATAAAATAAATAAATGCAGAAGATAGGATACCACTAGAGAACAAAAGAAGACAAAACACTTTAAAACATTAAAATAAATATGAAAGTGCTACAACATAACATTAAATCCATTAATACAAACCAAAATGACTTAGAATTCTAGTTAAACAACGAAAACTTTAGCATTGTTATTTTAGCGGAGGTCTTCTCACATGACCTAGACTTTAGAAAATTATCAAACTATAATTTAATAGAGAAACATAGACAAGATGGCTACGGAGGGGTAGCCATTGCTCACAAAAGGGACTTAAACCTTATAAGAATGAAATTTGAGACTTTTTAATGCAAGCACACTGGCTTTGGTGACTCAGTAAGTAGCAGAAAAGGGACCTTTTTAAGACAGGCAATGCATAATGCTGGATATATGGTTGCAAATGACAGCAGCATTACGTTTAAGAGAAATATTGACAGCAATACTGGATCGGTGTTGGACTTAACTTTTGTGAAGGGAGTAAAAATTGAAAGTTGGAAGTGCGAGAAATTTTTTCTAGGGGCAGCCATAACCATCCTATATGTTTCGAAATTGCAGGCAGACAAGTAAAGATGGTAAAAAAAGTGGTAAAAAAGTTTTTAGCTAAGAATAAATTATTAAAAAAAATAGGGCAGATTGTTACAAATGCTAAAACTGAAAGTTTAGCAAAAAACATAAGTAGCGAAATAAAAGCAATAACGTATGTAATAGGGGAAAAAAGGCCAAAGTTATGGTGGGACGAAAGCCTAGCCAAACTCCTTGGTGGCTTTGCTGAGGCTCAAAAAAAAAGCTAATGAAGATCCGTCTTTTCAAAACTACTGCAGAGCTGTTGATTTGGAAAAAAGCAGTGAGAATAGCAAAAAAACAAGCTATGCTCGCAAAATAACAGAAATCAACATAACTCTAACAGTAAAGAAGCGTGGAGGTTTCTAAACAATCTAAAAAACTGCAACACAGAAACACTAGAAAAATTTGATCCAGAGAAAGCGGGGGAGTTTTTGCAATTCCTAAAAGAGCAAATCCTTTAAAAAAAATTTTTTCCCCCCCAAAAAAAAACAAGTAACATGTAATATTAGCGTCAGTGGATCTGAATAACACGTACAACTGTGTTAATCTTAACTTCCTAAAAATTTGGATGGAAAGTGGACTTCCCAAAACTTATATAGACTGGATCATGTGGCCTATCCTCCTGCCTATCACCACTGTTATTTAATATTTACACAAAAATACTACACCAAATAAATGATTCCGAAACACAAATAATACAATTTGCAGATGACTTTGTCAGTATTTCGCATTGTCAAAATTTTATGGCAGCTGTTACCAACTTGCAGAACAAGCTAGCAGACTTTAATATTCTTTGCGATGATCTTCGTTTTAGTTTTAACCCAAGCAAGTCTGCGGTCTTGTACATGGGATGAGATAGAAGCAATACTATAAACATTGCAATAGACAACGTACAAATACCAAATAAAAAATTTATAAGGTTTCTAGGCAGACTGATAAATGTCAATATGTCATGCACCAGCCATGTAAAATGGGGCCCCCCCCCCTTCCCCCCCCCCCCCCACCCCCCGGGGCCCCGGGGGGTTTTTTCCCTGGGGGGGGGGGGAAGAGGAGGATAAAAGTCATGTAAGTCTACTTGGAATAAAACGTATCTTGAATAGACATACTTGTGTTCTCCTTTCTAACGATTTCCCCCGAGATCGCCCACCTAGCCCACATCGCCCTCTGGATTCCACCCGAAGCCTGCGTGCACCTTCATTTTGGTCCTTCGAGCCGGATACATTAAGCATTGGAGAGATTCCCCCCTACGATCCAGCTTGCAGCGCGGGAACTTTGAGGAACCAGAATCCAAGCTAAGTACCAGCTTTGCTCATTCGAAAACACTCCGTCCGTCATCTGCATCTCCATCCAAGTATATGTATGTACATATCACCTAAGTCCCATTTTCCGCCAACTCTGGCACCCCATATAGGCACTCCAAAGCCTGTTATCGCTCTTAATTGCCTAAACCACTCATGCTGCCTACTCCGTTGGCCCTCTTGCCTGCCTACCGGTCTCCCGGAATCATTCCAAGCGAGGTTTTTCTCCCCCTACAACAGGCACCTCATACATATATGTATGTACAGATGTCCTGCTGCTGAGATCCGTCGCCATTCCACAGGTGCAAGTACGTACATATGTATGTGCACACAATCCGTCCCACACAACATAAAACGCCAATACAAGGAAAATATACATGTTTATTTGTTGCGCATATTACAATTATATCAACATAACATACACAGCTCACATCCATATGTATATATATATTTTTTCACCGGCTTATAAGCACCTTCACATACATACATACGTGCCGGCACTTCCATCCATACTAATACCATACATAATCGCACGGCTAAAACAAATTACACGATCATTAACTAACAATTGCCCGCATATATAAAATAACCCATTAAATATTTTATTTCCGATTGCACCGGCGTACAATACATAACAATACATGCATACATAATACATAAATATGCAAATACGCATTCTTGGTGTTGTGTACATTTTATGTTGAGATCGATAGTCCAAGATCGATAAATGTATACAGGTTGGGGGTACTCGGGTTTTTATTTTTGCCACCTTAGCAAGGCTGCTGCCGCTCATGTGATTAATAATTATAATTGATCGCAGTTGTTATTAAAAAGTGATGATTGTTGAGGACTATTAATTTATCATTAATAATTATATTTTGTTTGGTAATTAATAAATTTCTTTCCGACAACAAAATCATCCAACGAGTGCGCAACTACATATTATAATATTTAAATTCCTCTGACTTACGTGTGCGACGAGTATCAGTCCAACTTCAACGTCCGCCTGTGCACTCTTCCCTCCGTGTACCACAGGAATTGCGAACTCTTCCCATAGCAGATCCATCAGCTTAGTATGCCTTCTGGTGGAAAGAGAGTCAGCAAAAAACTAAAGCGTGTAAGCTCGCAGAGTGACGCCAAGCCGCCCAGCACTTCCGCAGCAGTTACTACACCCACTTCGTCGCGTTCGCCCTCACGCCCGCAAGGTCCGACCACTTCCAAGGTCTGCCCCTCCATATTCGACACCCTCTTGTGTCCCTCACCATCCACGTGCACGGTTCCAGGAACAATGGCCCAATCTGCCGCCAGCTCTGCACGGTCTAGGTTTGTTTTGGCTACAGGCCGGCTCACTCACTTTGACCAGAAACTTAATGCTCCTGATGCGCGCACCCCAACCATCTCTCTTTCTCAAGTCCGCCGGGAACAGATCCGAGGCATGTGGTTGGAGGTCGAATCGGAGTATCGAGCCTGTTCTGCACTTCTAGCAACAGAGGATCCGGATGGTCAAGTTGAGGTCCAAGACATATACGATGAATGTTACGCGGTGTACGAGCAAAGTTTAGCTGAACTCAACGACCATCTTCAGCCCCCAACTGTCATTCCGACCGCGCAACCAGCCGTCCAGGTGCAAATGTCCAACGGTTGCCGCCTTCCCCCATGCGACACGGAGGTTTTCAGTGGAGACTACCAGCAGTGGCCCACGTTCCGAGACCTATTCACCGCCATCTACATAAACAACGCCAGGTTGACTCCGGTGGAGAAATTATACCACCTCAACCAGAAAACGAGCGGTGAAGCCGCTCTGCCTGGAACCACCTTCGTGAGCGTTTCCAAAATAAACGGCTGATACTCAAGGCCCAGTTGAAGATCCTTTTCAGCTTGCCTTCCATCCGATCGGAATCTGGAGCCGCCTTAAAGGAGCTCCAGAGGTCTGTCCACAAGTGCCTCACGACCCTTCAGCACTCCGAGGTGTCCACCGACAGCTGCTTTGCAGATGGCGTGCTGGTGTACCTCATTACCGCGAAGTTACCAAAGGCGACCGTGGAGCTTTGGGAACAATCGGTTCCGAATAAATTCGAGGTTCCGACTTGGCGCGCCATGAACAAGTTCTTAGAGGAGAGATACCTCTCTCTCGAGGCGACCGAGGACGGTCATCCAGGCATCGAGCCGCACTACAATTCCCGTACGAGCCTTCCCACTCCTGCACCTCGACGAGTGAACTCCTTTGAGGGGAGAATCTCCAACAAGGCGCGCACTTGCGACCTCTGTTCCAGGAGCTACCATCCTGTGCGATCATGCCCAGAATTTCTTCGCCTGACCGTACAGGAACGGTCAAGCTACATTCAGCAGAAACAACTCTGCTTAAACTGCTTCGCGCGAGGACACCAACTCCGGGACTGCACCAGCGCGTACAACTGCAGTACGTGCAGTGGACGACACCACACCCTCCTTCATCGGGGCGAGCAGACTCCGAGTGGCTCCAACGATGCTCCCAGTCCTCACACCACACAAGCCCCTACCACCATACAGTCCACTTCCTCTTCTCTTCCTTCGTCCAACGACTCAGCCCGTGTCCAGAGCTATTGCGCTACAAATGTACACCAGGTGCTACTGGGCACAGCAATAGTGGACATTTGTCATGCCGGCACAAGATACAAGGCTAGAGCCCTGATCGACTCCGGATCTGAGGCCACCTTTATTACTGAGCGGATGTTCAAAATCATTCGGCCCACCTTCCAAGCCGTCCAGGCTCAAGTCTCTGGTTTGAGTCAAACGGTAGCGGCCAAGGCCCAGAAACTCTGCCACTTCACGATCGGCTCCGCCTTAAGGCCCGGCCTCCAGGTTGAGACCACGGCGTACGTTCTTCCGCAATTGGCGGGTAACCTCCCGTCATACCCGGTACCGCAGAACTACATGACAGACCTTCCTAAACTCCATTTAGCGGATCCCTCCGTTCATCGCAGCGCGCAGATAGACGTGCTCATAGGCGCTGATATCCTTCCATCCATCCTTTTAAGCGGCTTCCGGTCCAACATTTGTGGCTCGCTCTTGGGCCAAGAGACTATCTTCGGATGGGTCCTATCCGGTCCTGTCGCAGCTGACTCGTCTCGAATCATCTCTTCCTTCACCACGAAGATCTCGGTCAGCTCTGACGTCCGACTCGAGAAACTTCTCACAAGGTTTTGGGAGGTGGAGGACCTTCCAGGGAGACCTACGAGCGAGTCAGACTCCATTTGCGAGGAAAATTTTCTCCAGACCACGCAGCGAGCTCCCGACGGGAGATACATCGTCACTCTTCCATTCAAATGTCCGGAAAAGATAGACTTGGGCTACTCGAGGCCTTCGGCCCACGCCCAGTTTCTGAGAAACGAGCAGCGTCTGCAGCGAAACTTGCCTCTCAAGAAGCAGTACGACGATGTCATTCACGAGTATTTAGAGCTAGGCCACATGAAACAGGTTCCACCTAGTCATGACTCCGGCCACTTCTATCTTCCACACCATGCCGTTTTCAAGCCAGAAAGCACAACGACCAAGGTGCGCGTGGTCTTCAACGCGTCCAGCCCGTCCTCGAACGGAAGAAGCCTTAATGACGTATTGCATTCAGGGCCAGTCCTTCAGTCCGACTTGACCACGCAAATCCTTAAGTGGCGCGTATTCCGTTACGTTTTCAACGCCGACATCAATAAGATGTATCGGCAGATCCTCGTGGCGCCACAACACACTCCCTACCAACGGATAATCTTTCGCAATCCTGACGGGGACGTTTGCGACTATGAACTCGATACGGTCACCTTCGGAGTCAACTGCGCGCCATATCTCGCCATTCGCGTCCTAAGGCAACTTGCACATGAAGTGCATCCTCGGTTCCCAATGGCAAGCGACATCCTGGCCAATTACATGTACGTAGACGACGTTCTAGCTGGTGCACATACCCAGCCTCAGGCAATTTCCGCCATCGCCGAGTTGCGAGAAGCACTCGATTCCGCCGGCTTTCCACTCCGAAAATGGACCGCAAATCAGAAGGGCGTGCTGAGCGACATCCCTCGCGAGCACTTACTGCGAGCTGATTTCCTCGAGCTCGAAGAAAGCAGTATCGCAAAGACCTTGGGTATCCGATGGCAAGCGAGTGCCGACGAGTTTTTCTTTGTCCCTCCCGAATTAATCCATCGGGAATCCTGCACGAAACGCAATGTGTTGTCCCAGATTGCGAAGCTGTTTGATCCAGCGGGATGGCTTGCCCCCTTTGTCATCCAAGCTAAGATGTTCATGCAGGAGGTGTGGTTACGAGAGTTAGGTTGGGACGAGGACCTTCCTGGCGATCTGCGTCAAACGTGGGAGACCTTCCTGCAGAGTTTTCCGGCCATCCAGCAGATCCACATACCAAGGTGGATCCACGTCTGTCCGACTGCCAAGGTGCAGATTCATGGCTTCTGCGACGCGTCTCAGCGTGCCTATGGTGCGGCGATCTACGTCCGAGTGGAGCGGCCGAATGGCATATTCTGCTCTCTCCTGACAGCTAAGACTCGCGTGGCCCCCGTGAGGACGATATCCTTGCCTCGACTTGAGCTGTGCGGAGCGGTTCTTCTGGCAGAATTGTCCGCTGCCATCCTTCCACAGATGCCGCTAGACAGTAGCCAGGTATCCTTCTGGACCGACTCTACCATTGTGCTGGCCTGGCTGCACAAACCAGCGTGCGAATGGACCACGTTCGTGGGCAATCGAGTCGCCAAGATAGCGCGCTGCAACTCCGGCGAGCTGTGGAGTCATGTTCGATCGGAAGACAATCCTGCCGACCTAGCCAGCCGAGGTATAGGACCCATCGACCTCGCGGGGAACGACATGTGGTGGCATGGTCCTGCGTGGCTGCGTCTTCCGCAGTCACAGTGGCCGTGTCCACTGGACCCATTCCCGGAGACTGACTTGGAGAAGCGAGCAGTCAAGGTGCTGCATACAAGTAGCACATCCTCTGACATCCTCAGCCGATTCTCGGATCTCGGGCGAGCTTTGCGCGTGCTTACCTATGTGCAGCGATTCATCCAACGATGCAGAGGAGGGTCAGTCCACAATTCCAACGAGGTAAGCGGGGCAGAGATAGCGGCCGCACTGCAAGCCGTTACCATCGCAACGCAGGGCATGCACTATGCGGACGAACATCGGTGCCTTACAACCAAACGTCCTCTCCCTGCATCGAGTTCCCTACGGAATCTCAATCCATTCATTGACCAGAACGGTGTCATGCGAGCATGTGGCCGAGTCCAAGCCTCCGCTTCCATGTCCTACAACGAGAAACATCCAATCCTACTGCCACCCGCATCCCTCCTCGTTCGCCTGCTGGTGCGCTTCACTCATCACATAGTCCTCCATGGTGGGAACCAGCTGGTCATTCGCCTTCTCCGTGCAACTTACTGGATCCCTCGACTACGTCACGTAGTGAAGGCGGTGATCCAATCCTGTAAGGTATGCGTAATCCATCGCAAGCGACTCCAGACCCAGTTAATGGGGGACCTCCCGTCCACAAGAGTCACATTCTCCAGACCATTCACATACACCGGAGTCGACTTTGCCGGTCCCTTCGACGTCAAGAGCTTCATCGGGCGCGCATGCCGCATAACCAAAGGTTATGTGTGCGTGTTCGTGTGTTTCACCACGAAAGCCATCCACCTAGAGGCCACTTCCGACCTATCCACTGACACCTTCCTAGCCGCTTTCGCTCGTTTTGTCGCGAGACGAGGGTGTCCTCACGAGGTCCAATCCGACAACGGCAGGAATTTCGTCGGCGCATCTCGTGCTCTGGCTGTAGATCTTCTCGAAGCCATCCGAACGCGGACTTCTGCGGTATACAGTCAGCAGGGCTTATCGTGGCGGTTCATCCCTCCGGGAGCCCCACACATGGGTGGCCTTTGGGAAGCAGGCGTGAAGAGTTTCAAGACTCTGTTCCAACGGTCGATGTGTACAGCCAAATATACACTGGAGGAGTTCGCCACCTTACTCTCCAAAATTGAGGCCTGCCTTAACTCTCGACCGATCTCTCCTATGTCCGAGGACCCGAATGACCCGCTAGCTCTAAGCCCAGGTCACTTCCTGATCGGCGGGCCGCTACTCTCCGTGGCGGAGCCTGAAATAAAAGAGAGCGCCTCCTCCATCCTGAACCGCTGGCAACATCTCCAGGCTCTAAACCAGCAATTCTGTTCGCGCTGGAAGACGGAGTACCTACGAGAGTTGCACAAGCGAACCAAATGGCAGCATCCAACAAGAGACCTAGAGGTGGGAGACCTCGTTGTTATCAAGGAGGATAACATCCCCTCTCACGAATGGCGTCTCGGACGGGTACAAAAAACGTACCCTGGGCCCGATGATAAGGTCCGTGTGATAGACCTTAACACTGTCCGAGGCCTTATCAAAAGACCGATTACTAAGGTCGTCCTGCTGCCTATGGAGTCGGAGATCCAGTCCACCTACTCCCGCGTACTACCCGATCCATAAGTATCCGCCTTCTTATCCTTAGGCTTAAGCACAACTCGTCCGTACAACTCTCCTGCACATCATTACTAATCCTCACTTCCGATTTCCGCAGCCACGGTCTCATGATGGCACCCCAGCAGCCCACACGCACCCAACGCAGAAGCACCGAGGGCCAAGCTCACGACAGCAGACGTACCCGAGGTACTATGTCCTACCGTTGCCGAGTCTGCCGAGGCGTCCATCCTCTTAGGAAGTGCGGGCGGTTCCTGCGGCTAAGCGCTGAAAAGCGGTTGCGGGCAGCACTCATCAATCAGTACTGCCCCAACTGCCTAGCCCATGAGCACTCGGGACGCGACTGCCGCAGCGGAGACCGGTGTCGGCATTGCCACAAGCACCACCACACCCTCCTGCATATCCCGGACACAACTCGTCGTCGCCCCACATCCGTCACACCATCCTCACCAGCTGGACCTCGAGCTCCGACGACGGCATCCTCCGCCTCCCGCCGACCACGAACGCGGGACACAGCGACTGATCGACGGCCTACTTCTCCGAGGACTTCGGCATCCTCCTCCAGCCGACCTCCGACTCTGACCACACTGCTGCAGCACCGCAACCCGCAGGTACTACCGACCGCAAGCGTCACCGTCGACAACGGGACCACCACCTATGAGACCCGGGCGTTGATCGACCCCTGCCGCCCCATGTCAGCGATCAACGCGTCGCTGGCCAAGGCCTTCCATTTGCGCACGTCCATGATCGGGGATGAAGAAGCCTGTGCAGCAGTGCTCCGGTCACCGATGTCCCCGGACTTCCAGTTGGAGGTCGTGTTCCAGGTGGACCCGAAGCTGCATCTGCGAACTCCCTCCGCGTCCATCAGTGATCGCATACGGAGCAAATTCGATCACCTAACGTTGGCAGACGACAACTTTCATCGCCCGGCCACTGTGGCTCTCATTCTGGGAGCGGACGTGTATGGTGACATCATCCGCGATGGAATGCTGCCGAGTGCCGAGGGGCTCCCTGTTGCACAGCACACCGTCTTCGGGTGGACGCTGTCGGGCGGGTGCCGGCCGTAAAGCATTTCTGTAGCGTTGGACTCCCCATAAGTTGCAATACATTGCAAAGGGGGCGGGATGTTGGCGTTCGACCCCCAGCGTTCCCAACCAATCACTAAGCCACGGCCTCACCGGGTTTTTATATACCTTGCGGGGGAGTTGGAGAAGATAGAGGGATCACGAAAAATGAAATGTAAAAGTCATACTTGGAATAAAACGTATCTTGAATAGACATACTTGTGTTTTCTTTTTTTTCCAAAATTCCCCCGAAAACCCCCAACCCCCCCCCCCCCCCCCCCCCCCCCCCGGGGGGCCCCCCAAAAAGAAAAAAAAAAAAAAAAAAAAAAAAAGAGGGGGTGGGAGAGAGCCCCAAAAAAAAAAAAAAGGACTGAAATTTTTAAATCATTTGTGTTCAAAGTGACCGCCACGATATAGATAAAAAAAACGCGGCGTCCGGTGTCCAGGATCTAACGATATCCCGAGATTTTCGTGTGTCGTGTGCCTATATAATCTAGGGGGGGGGCTTCCTTAAATTTTTTTTTTAAAATTATTATCCTACTCAATAAATAACTGAAACAGGTTATCGGCCCAGGCACCCAGATAACTAAAACAAAAAACATTGTTTGTGCTTAGTGACAAGCAGTGTCGAAAAAAAAAACGACTTAGACTCATTGGTGTGTGCGTGTGAGTACGGTAGAGAAAAGTGGAACAAAAATTTAAACGGACATTCGCAGCGTGTTTTTTGATCAGAATTCTGCAGCGAGCCGGACCGTTGCCGTGGTTAAAAATCCAAAATAAAGAAGTCCCAACAGATCAAGAAACACAAAAGCGAACGGAGACTCAAGTGTGTATACCAAGGCACAGAAAATCGTGCGTGTGTGTAGCTAACAAAATTCAACCGAGCCAAGGAGAAAAGGAAACTGAAAAAAAGAAAAGAAAAGAAAGAGACAAAAGTATTTTCGTCGTAGTTTCTTTGTGCATGAAACAAGCGACAGATTTATACATATGTACGTAAGCATTTGCACAGTCGGACAAAAACAATAAAAAACGAGAAGGAACGTGTGAGTCGCTTCTGGGGACGCGACTCTACTTATACCCGTACTCAGTCAGTAGATACATTTTTGAGCTTATGATTTTTTAGAATTTAAAAATATAAAAAAAAATTTTACATTTTACAGTTTTTTGCTACATCTGTTATCTACATCTACAATGTATATTCCACATCTAACAAGTAGATTGTACATGTACCATTTATATTCTACATCTCCTCCGCTAGGGGTTGCTCGCGCACTGAACGCGGCAAAGTGTGCGAGCGAGAAAGAGAATCAGTAGCGTCAGCAGCGCTGGAGAAGGAGAGGGAACAAACAGAAAATTAATTTCTTCATTCTGGCTATAATTATGATCCGATCTAGTTCAGATTCGACAATACCAAAGTGGAACCTGAAAAATATGTACCAATTTTAAATGTTGCTAAGTCTGATGACCGGATGGTAAATGCATGGTGCATAGACAGTGGCGACAAGGATCGCTTTATGTCGTTTCGGAAGATAATCAAAAAGTATTTTTAGCCGGCGGGAAATCACTTATTGCTGAAGGGCATAGTAAAGTTCGGTGATAGAGCGGTTACAATGGATAATGTTATCTTGGTACCAGATTTACAGTACAATTTTATATCAGTCGCAAAAGCATTAAGCAACGGCAAACAAGTTTTGTTTGAGAAAAATCAAGCGATGATTTTTGAAAACGGAAATGTGTTAGTAAAGGCACATTTAGAAAATGGATTGTTTATGGTTAATGATAATCAGGAAAAGTGCATGAACATTGTAAATGTTGAGACAGATACATTTAAATGGCACAACAGGTTCGGTCATGTACATTTTGACGCACTAAAGGAAATGGCTAGTAAGGAGATGGTAATAGGTCTCAAGGGCATTTGCAACCCAAAAAAGGTATGTGCAACATGCGCAAAAAGTAAGATTTGCGTTCAACCATTTCCATCGAGCTCAAACAGGTCAAGGGGTGTACTAGACGTGATACATAGTGACGTATGCGGTCCAATGCAAAAGCAATCGATCGGAGGAAATCGATATTTCGCAACATTTATTGATGATTGTTCCAGATATGTATCAGTATATTTTCTAAAATCCAAAGATCAGGTTTTTGATGCTTTTAAAGTGTTTAAAAGTCAAGTTGAGTGCCAAACTGGGAAACAAGTTAAAGTTCTACGAAGCGACAATGGCCGAGAATACATTTCCAACGTTTTTGATAAGTATCTGAAAGAAAATGGAATAATGAGAAACTTAACAGTGCCATATACACCGCAACAAAACGGAGTTGCATAAAGGGCGAACAGAACATTGGTTGAAATGGCAAGAAGTATGCTGTTGCATTCTGGGTTGAGTGAATGCTTAGGGCTGAAGCGATTCGAACTGCCGCGTATTTGCGAAATAGAGTGGCAACAAGTTCCCTGAATGGAAATCTGGACAGGTAGAAAGCCAGTGGTATCGCACTTGACAGTTTTTGGCTCAGTAGCAATTGCTTTAGATAAAACTAAGAAATCAAAGTTCGCACAAAAAGGTTTTGAGTATGTAATGGTGGGATACTCCGATACGGCCAAAGCATATCGAAGAAAACAGAAAACTCGTAGAGAGTAGGGATGTCATTTTTGTAGAACCTGAAGGGGACAGACTAGAGCCATCAGATTCTAATGACATGGCATCAGTTGAGCTTCAACAAAACCAGGACTCTGAATACGAGATAGAAAACGAGTCATCTACAGATCCAGAAAATGCACCAGAGATTCAGGAGGAGAATAGGTCCGATAACGAAATTCTTGCATTTCCAGAACCCAAGAGACGACCAGGTCGTCCATACATCGTACGTACGGGCAAACCAGGAAGACCGAGGAAAGAGTATCATATGCTCAATGCGATACTAGCAGCAGACGTACAAGTTCCTCAAAACTACGAAGAAGCTGAGCGGTCAACTGAAGGTGAGCTATGGAAAGCATCCATGAAGGACGAGTACGAATCCCTCGTCAAGAATGGCACGTGGTCGCTTACTGAATTGCCTAGCGACATGAGGGCTATTGGATTCAGATGGGTTTACGCTGTCAAGTCAAATCCGGATGGAAGCGTGAACAGACTGAAATCACGTTTGGTAGCAAAAGGTTGTAGCCAACGCTACGGGATCGACTACAAGGAGACATTCGCACCGGTTGTTCGCCATGCAACTATCAGGTTGATAATTGCCCTTGCAGTCGAACATGGCCTCCACCTACATCAAATGGATGTTGCAACCGCATATCTAAACGGAGAATTGCAAGATGAGGTCTTTATGAGGCAACCCAAAGGCTTCGTCAGCGTTGATTATCCAAATCACGTTTTGAGGCTTCACAAGAGCATATATGGGCTTAAACAGTCAGGAAGAGTTTGGAACTCTATGTTAGATGCAACGCTGCGACGCATTGGATTTGTGCCGACTGCCAATGATTCATGCCTCTATTATAGACCAGGTAATAATATGTGTCTATTAGCTGTCTACGTAGATGACATTATTTTGGCGTGCAACGACCTGGACGATCTATCTGATATCAAAACAAAGATCGCAGCAGAATTTGACGTAGTTGACATCGGGCCTATGCAGTACTTCTTAGGTATTGAAGTGAAACGTGAAGGCAGTACTGGAGCAATTTCAATCAGCCAACGGAAGTACATTAGAGAATTGCTCGAACAGTACAACATGAACGATTGTCGACAGACGCCCATGCCGCTGGAAGCTGGTTACCAGGTGTCATGCAACAGAGAGGACTGCCGCAAGGTCGATATGACATCGTTTCAAAAGCTAATTGGGGAGTTATCTTATCTTGCAGTTATGACTCGTCCGGACATTGCTCATTCAGTGAACAAGTTGGCACAACGCAACAAGGATCCCCATTCCGAGCATGAAGCGGCAGCTTAGCAT